CAGGAACATAAATTTACTGCCCTTAATGGAAAATGTACGCACTCGGTCTCGATGGTGGACCCGCTTGTATATTTAAGAAGTGTGCTTATATAGTATGAGTAGGTAGTCTGCTGCAGCACACTTTAAACCTACTTTTTTTCCTACCATATGGAATCGTTTACCTCCTCTCCATGGAAGAGGCAATACTTCTGGTGTCAAAAAATACAATTGGTATATCCTGATTGATATTCCTTAAGCTTCTGTAACATCCCACCTTCAATACTAATGCAGTTCTATTTTTTCTCCATTGCGTGAAGCGTATATCTTTTACTTATTGTTCCTGTGCCAGCCATATGATATATTTGAACGATGTTGACAAGATTTTACTAATATGTAAGGAGCATACTAAAATGTATGTTTGGAGACGCTTACGAAAACGACTGGGTGGAAGACTACGGCTCTAAACTGAACTGGGAAGCAAAAACTTGCCCAGATGCTACTTCCTATCCCAACTTATTGTAAGAAGCATAGTAAAACAAATAAAACAAGTAAAGGGTTCTAGTCGGGAGCTCCCGAATAGGGGATACCCTGAACCCTCTTATTCCAACCCCAAATGCAGCTCGCGCTACTCGCTCGTTTGCTTTAGTAGTAATAAAGATAAATTAATTTAAAAAAAAAATTCCCTCGGCAGGATTCGAACTCGTAACTGACCGCATTACTTGCTGCCGCCTCTAGTCAACAGCCACACCATTAATTGAGTCTTAATGAGAAAAAACGAATTAAAATAGCAGCCGAGAAAACAATACAATCGCAATTGCAATGCTGTTGATAGAATTCAAAGCAGAAGCGCATGAATTTGTGTGTGTACATGTATACAGAATTTCTTGGAATTTGCGCTTGCTGCCGCTGATAGGAAAAAAGTCAAAACACGTTTTCTTTAATCATTTCTGTGTTTCTTAACAGATCTTGATGAAATTTTCAAAAGTACATCTTATTGTACTATAGAGTATTCGTGTATTATCAAAAAGTTATCGAAAATCGGAAATAAACTCGATCTGCGCGGGCACTAGGAGGACCTACAGCTAAAATTTCGAGTCTTTAGCTCTCATAGGTTCTGAGATCCTTGCGTTCATACATACGGGCGGACGGACGGACGGACGGACGGACAGACGGACATGGTTCAGGCTATAAAAAGTTTTGGAAATCCCATCCGACACTGTGGAAATTTGGCAAACAATTCTCAACTTTTTTGTTTATTATCAGTTTTAAATTAATTTTCAAAGATCTTTGGTAGAATTTGATACGTTAACTCGGCTCAAAGGTTTAATGAACGAAAGTTTACTATTCCGCTTCAAGAATAGTGGTCAAGTGGTCAATGTACCAATTCCTGTAGCCAATGTTGTTACGTCCCTTCCAAGGGTATTTTTTCTTTTTCTAAATCTAATAATATAATCTCAATTGTGATATATTATTATATAATACACTGTGCTATGTGTGTGTTACAATTTTATTTAAGAGGTAAGGCGTTGGGCGATAGTAGTAGTACGTTATGTTGATGGGGACGCGAGCTCGAACCTAGCAAATGGTATTTATTTTTAAACCCTTTTATTGGGATTTAAAATGTTATCATGAAACGCATGAAAGGAGACATCTTCGACACCATAAAATATAAATTCTTGCTCAGCATCAACAGCCGAGTTGATATAGACAGTAGATAGACAGTAGGTAGACAGATAGTCCGTCCGTCCACCTATATAAATCTATTTAAACTAGTCTCTCACTTTTAAAATCTTCGTTAAACCTTAATAGGGCCATTTTATGCTGCAGGCAGTACATATGTTGGAACCGGCCGGATCGCACATCTATATCAAATAGCTGCGTTAGCGATCAGTCGCAACTTAAGCTATTTTTTTTACCCTAAACCCGTTTAAAATGAATATAATGTATTTGTGCAAATGTTTGTAACAGGCAGAAGGATGCGTGTCCAACCTCATAAAGTATATATATTATTGATCAGCATCAACAGCCGAGTCGATCTAGCCATGTCAGTCTGTCTGTCCGTCCGTCCGTATGTATGAACCCACGGATCCCAGAACCTATAAGAGCTGGAGACTTGAACTGAACTGTAGGTCCTCCTAGGCAATGCGCAGATCGCATTTATTTCCGATAATCGATAGCTTGCCCTGTTTTCAAGTAATTGATCAACATGGATATCGAAATCCTGTTTTGTGTGCGAATCTCTAGGTTTAAAGAACTAGAGTCACCAAACTTGACATGTAGCTTCTAAAATAGTATATATATATATCAAGCATCTTTCATTTTATAGCTATCGCCACCACCCCTAAAACCAGCAATTTGTATTGCCCACTCATTGAAGGCTCAATTTTAATGCAATTGTCATATTGAGAATACAACTAGATCTACTGTTGTAAATTTCATCAAGATCGGTTAAGAAGCACAAAAGTTATTAAAGAAAATGAGTTTTGGCTGGCCTCGTGCTTGCGAAAGCTAGCTCAATTTGCAAGAATTTCTGTATACATGTAGACACACACACACACATCTTTGAATTCTATTAACAGCATTGTATTGATTTCTGTGCTTCTATTTTAATCCGTTTCTTCTCATTAAGACTTACTTATTGGTGTGGCTGTAGACTAGACGCGGTGGCAAGCAGTGCGGTAGTAAAAATGTATGCTATTTTTGATTCAATACAATAAACATTTATAAAACGAGAATGAAGGGCTATCTTCAGCACGCCGAAGACTTAAAACCCTTGCCTATCTAACCTTTTCTTAATGCTCATAGTGCTTTGTCCGTATTTAAGCAGCACAGGAAATGTAGGAAATGCCGAGTATGTTAAAGATATCTTGAAAAACAAAAAAAGTATTCCATACAACATAATTTTTGACCGATCGTTCCTATGGCAGCTATGTGATATAGTAGTCCGATTTTAATAGATTTTGCATTAATGGAGGGAGCATTTTAAAACTAATAAATGCCGAGTTTATTCAAGATATTTTGAAAAACAAAAAAATTTTCCATACAACAACATAATTTTCGACGATCGTTCTTATGGCAGCTATATGGTACGATCCAGCTGGTTCCGACGTATATACTGCGTGCAACAGAAAGATAGCTTTAAAGCTGCAAAGTTTCATAAAGATAGCTTTAAAACTGAGAGACTAGTTCGCATAGAAACAGACAGACGGACATGGCTATATCGACTCGCCTGTTGATACTGATCATGAATATACATATATACTTTATGGGGTCGGAGATGTCTTCTTCTATGCGTTACACATTTCCCGACAAAATTATAATACCCTCTGCAAGGGTATAAAAACTTGTTTTTGCTGGCCTCGTGTTTTCTGTCAGTCCGACCCTCCGTCTGCCATAGGAACGATCGGTTAAAAATTTATGAATTTAACAAGCACTTGAGTTCTTTTTGTTCTTATTATTTTATTTAAAGATATTAGTGAATAAACGTAAACTTATAATTATTTTACATTTTCCAATATGTATTTCAAAAGACAACGAGCAACAGCGAACACATCTTCACATTGACTCTGTCTAGCCACCAACCAAATAGCATATAGACTGGACAAACAGTACTAATGACGGGGACAAGCGTTTTCCGTGCGGCTGGTCCAAAGTCGCCTTCGTTTTTGTTCGGGTTCGAGACATACCCGCATGCTCTCACAGCTAGATAGTAAGAATACATATGACCTGTGTCGTAGAACGGCATCGCTGTCTTTTTACTCGCTCACTCTATAGGAAACTGCTTTGGAAAACGCTTGTCCCCGTCATTAGTACTGTTTGTTCAGTCTATATGCTATTTGGTTAGTGGTCTAGCTTAAACTTGATACTTCTTCTTCTATTTTTATCGATATAGCCATAGCAGGGTTGCATGTGCTGAGTGTAATGTAATATGAGTATAATGTCAAAATTGTACTCGCCTATTTAATTTAACTCATTTTAAATTCGACCACTCCTAGTTTTATTTCCAACTCCTACATTTAAAAGTAATACTATGTTCCCTATATTTATGCAAAATCTTTTTTACATTGGACCACTATATCATATAGCTGCCATAGGAACGGTCCGGCGAAAATTAAGCTGTCTATTGAAAAATTTTTTGTTTTTCTAGATATCTTGGTCTTACTCGACACTCGGGACCATCGGTCGAAGATGAGGTTCTTGTTTGAAAAACTTTTTGTTTTTCAAGATATCCTAGCCATACTCGGCATTAATTATTTTCCCTCTGCTTTTTAGATACGGGCAAAGCATTATGAGTATTATAAAAAAGTACGATATGCAAGGATATTAAATCTTGAACAAACTTGGGGTTTATTAGTTCCACTAAATAAATACCCTAAATACGCAAAATACTCTCAACATTGTATCACTTCTCATATAGCTGCTTTAGAAAGATCGGTCGAACAAAAAGATCTTATACGGCAAAATATTCTGTTTTGAAAGATATTTGATCTTATAAGGCAAAATATTCTGTTTTGAAAGATATATGGATAATAGTCATTTGCGAGCTGTACTATTCTCACATATGTGCAAAAGGGAAAGGTATTAAATGTTCGGCGAGACGAAGATATCCTTACTTTCTCGTTTTTTTTTTTATTTTCTGAGTAATGCTATTTATATCGCTTTTTCATTAAATGGATACAAAAGTCAGGAAAGTGCTTAACTTTATCCTGATCATTTTATTTTGGAGTTGGTTAACTAGTCATTTAATAAAATCCAGCAGTGTAATTTGGAAACGTTCCATTCTTCTTTCTGTGAGCACTATAGTTCTTTCAAAATTCGATTAACTGCTTACACAGAATTTTAACACCCTAAAAACCTCATATAACCCAGCTTCATGGTTAAAATATAAAACCAACGATAAGAACAACTAGAACAAGAATGCATTTCCATTAAAAACCTTCTAGAACTTATTTCATTTTTAGTACGGTGCGAAAGAAGTTTAAAGCTTTCGACTAAAAGTATTGTTCCATTGTAAAATATACCTTGCTTTCCATTGATGATATCCAAGGCTGCGAAAAATATTTAATTTTTGATTGCGGTATTTAGCTACAATATTATCATTGTGAATCGCTCCGAAATGTGCCAGATCAGCACCATTTTCTGGTATTTCTTGAATATGACAGTTTACATAAAACTCATTCCGCCCGTGGTATATCAATTTGTTGCTTTCAACTTCGACTGATTTTGGAATAGTCCAGGGAATTTCTGATCCTTCGACACTATACCAAACAAATACAAATCCATTTACTTCTGTAGAGGTCCATTTCTTTATTTTTGTAGCCTGCGGAACTGAAATGTTTAAATAAATAACATGCACTTGTTCTAGAGTAGTAACACTTTTTCTGTAATTGACTTACCACAAGTACTATACGGAATATTGGTACACACTCCGTCACTCCCTCTAAAACTCCATTGGTGAAAGGGACATTCGATATCATCCCCAACAACTCGACCGCCAATGCCCAAATTAGCCCCTAAGTGTGGGCAATACGCATCCAAAATATAAATTTTATTTCCTTGAGATCGATAGATTATAAGATGTTCTCCCAAACAAGATATATGTGTTGATTCTCCAGCTTTAAGTTTCGATGATTCAAGAATTCCATACCAACCATTTGGATATGGAGGGGGTAATTCCTTTGCTCCAATTAGCCGTGTATTTCTTAGCCGGTTGATTCCTGCTCGTTTACTTTTACAACGCATATTTTTTCTAGTGCATAACACTTGCCAGTCTGTAATATCATCCATATGCTTTCATATATACATAAAAATAAAAATAAGTATATCAATCCCAAAATTAATATTAACGAAAGAGTTAAGATATCTTCGGGACCACGAATAATTAATACTCTTGTCGCCATTTCCTTTTTGCAGATATGAGAGAATAGTGCAGGTTGAAAATGCTGAATTTTTTTAACTATTTTTGAAAACAGAATATCTTGCCATATAAGATTAAGACTATTCCACCCATCTTTTCTATAGCAGCTATATGATATAGTGGTTCGATGTTAATAAGATTTCGCGTATATATGAGAATAAACTTATAAATGCCAAGATTGGCTAAAATATCGTGATAAGAAAAAAAGTTTTAAATACAAGACCCTACTTTTACGACATAAACCTGCAATAGAGAGACGGACCTATGCAAGATTTCAAGACGATAGCTTTAAAACTAAGAGGTTAGTTACAGACCGCCGGACAGATGGACATATATATATATGTATATGGGGTCGGATATGTCTCCTTATATGCGTTACACAAATAATAATAACCTATTTAATGGCATACAACTGATTTAACATGTTTTATCTGTTCCTTAGATATATAGTGACGCAGGGTTACAATGGCCATTATTGCTTAATAGATTAATAAAATGTTATGATTTAATTTCCATTATTATTTATTAGATTTAAGGAAATACGATGAAAATCATTGATTAGATTTAAGGAAATACCATGAAGTCAATATAATAACAAGAAAGAAGGGCTATCTTCGGCACGCTCATAATGCTCATCTGATTTGCCCGTATCTAAGAAGCACAGGGAAAATAGTTATTGCCGAGTATTTTTAAGATATCTTGAAAAACAAATAAGTTTTCCATACAACAACTTAATTTCGACCGATCGTTCCTATGGCAGCTATATGATATAGTAGTCCGATTTAAAAAGATTTTGCTTAAATGGAGGGAGCATAGTAAAACTAATAAATTCCGAGGTTGGTGACGATATCTTGATAAACAAAAATGTTTTCCATACTACAACTTAATTTTCGAGCGATCGTTCCTATGGCAGCTTTATGATATAGATGTCCGATGTCGATAGGATTTTGCTTATATATGAGGAGTACAGTAAAACTTATAAAAGCCGAGTTTGGTCAATCTTGGTCATATCTTGAAAATGAGAAAAAATTTGTATCCAAGAACTAAATTTTTGACTGACTGTTTCTATGGCAGCTACATGATATAGTAGTTTAATCTTAATGGGATTTTGCATATATATGAGGAGCATAGTAAAACTAATAAATGTTTTTCATACAAGAACCCACTTTTCGACCGATCATTCCTATGGCAGCTATATGATATAGTAGTCCGATCCAGCTGGTTTTGACATATGAACTGCGTGCAACAGACAGAGGCACTTCTGCAAAGTTTCAGGTACTATTGGCCAGGAATGTTCCGGAACGCCGCACGACATGTGAGGTGCTGCGAGGTGTGTCAAAAGTTTAAAGTAGAACAGGTGAGGACGACAGGACGAATGCTGACGCGCCAAGTGACGGAACCGTGGTCCATCCTATGGGCCCCCTACCATGCTCGAGCACGGGAACACTATGCAGCTAGTATTCCACGATGCGTTTAGCAAGTGAGTGGAACCAGTTCCACCGGAGTGCAGTTCACAAGCCGGACATCCAAGGCTTTCTTGACTTCTATCGGCGTAGAGGTGCAATACACGGCGCCGTATTGCCCTCAGGAAAACCCCACCGAGCGGACGAACCGGACGGTCAAGACGATGATTGCCCAGTTCATTTAAGAACATCAGAGCTCGTGGGACGAGATGCTACCCGCAATAGCGTTGGCGGTTAACACGTCCGTGGCCGACTCGACCAGATTTTCGCCCGCCTTCTTGGTGCAAGGACCCGAGCCTCGTCTCCCCGCAGCGACGACGAGGTTACGCCTGGGTCCACCACTGTTCAGCAAACGCCAAGGGAAAAGGCCGGGCGTCTGAGGGAGTTGTTTAACATCGTCCGGCACAACCTTCAGCATGCTTCCCAGGACCAGGGGAGGAACTACAATTTGCGTCGAAGAGAATGGAGGCCAAAAGTGAACGAGCAGGTATGTTTCTTGCCCTATACTTCTTGTCCCAGGTTCCGATACCAAGAGATGGCGATTAGTTATAGACTATCGTCAAATAAATAAAAAATTACTCTCTGATAAATTTCCACTTGCAAGAATAAATGATATTCTTGACCAACTGGGCAGAGTAAACTATTTCTCATGCTTAGATTTAATGTCCGGTTTTTACCAAATAGAATAAGAAGAAAATTCTAAAAACATAACGTCTTTTTCAACGAGCAATGGCTCCTATCATTTTACAAGATTACCATATGGTCTAATAATAGCGCCTAATTCTTTTCTAAGAATGATGACCATCGGTATTTCTGGATTACATCCTTCACAAGCTTTCTTGTACATGGTTGACTTAATCGTCATCGGTTGTAACAAAAACCACATGAACAAAAACATAACAAGCTTTTTGACTTGTGTAGGAAACACAACCTTAAATTACATCCAGAAAATTGTTCATTTTTCAGGCACTGTGCAAGTGACTTTTCTAGGTCGTAAGTGTACTGATCAAGGTATTTTACCAGATGACAAAAAATACAATGTCATTGAAAATTACCCGGTCATTACAGACGCCGACAGCTCTAGAAGATTCGTTGCATTTTGCAATTATTACAGACGTTTTATAAAAAACGTTGCAGATTATTCACGTCACATAACAAGATTATGTAAAAAGACTTTAAGGCTTGAGTGGTCCGATGAATGCCAAAAAGCTGTCGACTATTTAAAAAAAGCTCTTATAAAACCTACTTTACTAAAATACCCAGATTTTAGCGAAGAATTTTGCATCATAACAGATGCCAGTAAACTAGCCTGCGGAGCAGTTTTAATTTAAACTTATGGAGATAAACAATTGCCCGTAGCAAAAGCTTCTCGTTCATTTACAAAGGGAAATAGCAATAAAAGTACAACCGAACAAGAGTTGGGAGCAATCCACTGGGCAATAACGCATTTTCGACCATATATATATGGTCAACATCTCAAAATTAAAACAGACTATAGACCATTGACATATCTGTTTTCAATTTTAAATCCAAGTTCAAAATTAACGAGAATAAGACTAGAATTAGAAGAGTATGACTTTACTGTAGAATATCTCAAGAGCAAAGACAAGAATTAATGTTGTTGATCTCTATACAAATGAAGTCTTTGATATAGATCAATTTTTCCTAAGGCTTGAAAAAGAAGCCGGTATATAAAGTATCAAACAACTTAAAATGGAACCGTGCGAAGAAATCTTCGAATACGTTTCAATAGATCTTTTTAAAGAAATGGGCAATGAAACAATGAAAATACTAAGAGTAGCACTACTCAGGCAGGTGACCACATTAAAAAATAATAAAGAAATCGAAGAAATACTGTCTACGAGAACAACGAAAACCATTGCTAAAATAAAACGCTATTATTATTGGAAAAATATGACGAGTGATATCACAAATTATGTAAAAAAATGCCCGAAATGCCAAACATCAAAAGTGTCAACACACACTCGAACTCCTCTAACACTGACATAGACACCACTAATGGCCTTTGATAGAGTAATAGTAGACACGATCGGCCCACTACCAAAATCAGAGCAAGGCTTGAATGATCTCCTCGGTAGGTCTCGAACTCACAGCAGAATGCACTACCTGCCGCCGCCTCTACCCAACAGCCACACCAATAATTAAGTCTTAATGAGAAAAAAACTAATTTAAATAGCAGCACAGAAAACAATACAATCGCAATTGCAATGCTGTTAATAGAATTCAAAGCAGACGCGCATGAATGTGTGTGTGTTCATGTAAACAGCAATTCTTGGAATTTGCGCTTGCTGCTGCACGTGTTTGCAGGACAAAACACATTTTCTTCCGTGTTTCTTAACCGATCTTGATGAAGTTTTTAGTAGTAGATCTGATTGTACTATAAAATATTCGTATATTCTCAAAATGGCAATTGCATTAAAATTGTGGCTTAATTAGGTAGGCAATACAAGTTGGTTTACTGACATGATTTATAGCTTTGTGGTGGTAGCGGGGAGGTGGCGATAGCTATAAAATGAAAGATACTCGATATATATATACCATTCTAGGAGGTACATGTCAAGTTTGGTGACTCCAGCTCTTATTATTTACCAAAATTGTTTTAAAAAACAGGATTTCGATAACGATTTCTATCGATTACTTGGAAACGGGGTATCGAATATCGGAAACAAACTTAATCTGCGCGAGCACTAAGAGGACCTACATCTAAAAGTCTCTAGCTCTTATAGGTTCTGATATCCTTTCGTTCATACATACGGACGGACGGACAGACGGACCATCAGACAGACGTACATGGCTAGATCGACTCAGCTATTGATGCTGATCAAGAATATATATAGTTGATGGGGTCGGAGATGCTTCCTTCTGCCTGTTACATACATTTGCACAAATACATTATACCCTTTTTACCCATTTTTAATGGGTTCAGGGTATAAAAGGGCATTTAACAGTAAATGAACACATTGAACCCTTATATAATTCAGATGATTACGCTATGGTGTCAAAATATAGATTAGAAGTAGCATATAAAAGAGCTAGAATAATGCTTGAACAAAAAAAGCAGAAAAAAAACTTATATATGACAGCAAAGTAAACGATATAGAATTAAGCATAGATGATAAAGTATTACTAAGAAATTAAACAGGTCATAAATTAGACCCAGTATGTATAGGACCATTTGAGGTCATAGAAATAGAACCCAACAATAACATAGTTATAAAGAATAAGAAGAATAAAAAACAAAAAGTACATAAGGATAGGTTAATATTGTTTAATGCGTAAAACTAAAAAGGAAAATCTTCCATGGTTGGCCACCATCAACAAA